TGAATTGTTATTTTGTTTTTTAGACTTGCATTTGCGTTTGTAATTTGTTATTTTGTTTTCAGAATTGTGATTTGCTCTACACTTCTCGGCTACCGTAGTTCAATCATTCATATGCAATAAAATGGATAAAAATTTATTTTTAATGATGAAAAAGGGCGTGTTTTATCAAAAGCAACACTTAATAATATCTCCTATCAAAGCAAGGTTGTTTTTTTAATGACACATGCATGTTTAATAAGATTTTAAAGTTGCGTCCCCACTTTTTGTCAACACCGTCAGACATTCAATAAAATGTAATAAAATCAGGGAATATCAGGGGCAGCTGTCACTCTAAAGGACCCGTGTAATCTGTCTGCTAACACGAGAATGTGTTTTGAAATGTTAAAAACATCTTGAATGCTGTTAAAGATAAAGTTGAAATTATATTACACAGTCCAAGGTAAAAAAGCACATTTTGTTAAAAAAGAGAAAAGTTGGGAGGTTGTATCAAAGCATAGCTCAGTAGCTTAGTACATATAAGATACATAAATGTAGTTTCATTTGTCTGAGTACAAGGTTTTATTTTTTCAATTTTGCACCCTGTTTTGTCCCACTTCTCAAGAATGACTGAGTGTCAGTTTTGTAGCTAATAATAATGCTTAATAATTAACTTTTTATTTTAATAAACCAATTAGGTACTGTATTTAGAAAAATATGAATAACTGTCATTTATAGGATCATTTATGTATCATAAACAGATGTACAAATTTAAATGTATATGAAAATGTCAACATTTGACAACTGTCATGATTTATTAATTTATTAATAAACTTTACAACAAAATGTTATGATGTGATTAGTCCCAAAATAAATGTATGAAAATTTGCCAACATCTAGATGTCTTGTTTAAATAATTTTGTACTTTTTTATTTTAATTTAATAACAAACATTAATATCATGTTAATATCAATAATTTTGGTGGGAATTTATAATTTAAAAGTTATAGTAATGTTTAATAATTAGCTTTATTTTAATAAAACATTTCGGCACTGTACATAGAAACAATATTAACAACCGTCATTAACAGGACGTTTTATAATACTAAACAGATCAGATTTAAACATATATGGAAATATATCAACATCTGTCAACTGTCATGATCTCTCTCTCTCTTCCTTCGGCTTGCTCCCTTTTTTTTGTCAACTGTCATGATCTAATTAATTAATTAATAAACTTAACAAGAAAATGTTATGATGTGATTAGCCCCAAAAGAATTATTTGTAAATATGTCAACATCTAGATGACTAGTTTAATAAATTGTTTAATTATATTTTAATAAATGTTCAAATTATTGTTAAAAAAATTAATTAAATAACATTTTTGTTGCAGGAATTGTTAATGAAAAAAATTATATAAAGCAGGCTATTACCAAATCAATTTAAATGTATGATGTCAAGTAAATCAAATAAATTGTTACATCAAATGATTAATAAATCAATTAGTTTTACAGATATACTGTATACTGTATGAGTGTAACCCAGCATTCATTGCTGAAACGTGTGGCATGAGTAAGGCTCGAACAGGGTCAAATGTTTCGCTCTTTACTGTATTACAGTGAGTGATGGGCTGGACGTGAGACCGAAATACAGTGGAATTCTGCACTGCATGAAAAGCGTCTGGCAGCAGGAGGGTCTCCGGGGCCTTTATCAAGGTGTCACTCCAAATATCTGGGGAGCTGGAGCGTCATGGGGGCTTTACTTTTTCTTGTATGTATTTTTCTACCTGTAATGCATCCTGTATGCACGGTGTACATTTTTGCATTATGTAAGGAGCTGTGACTTTGTGAAAATAATACATGCTTAAGTTTTACTCTTAGGTGCAATAGGTTTCAGTAATTTAACAGTCCAGAATCAGTTAGGTGTTTAGATCACTTAAGTAATATATATTTTTACACATTTGTATTTGTAGCTACAATGCAATCAAAGCGTACAACAAGGAGGGCAGACAAACAGAGCTGAGTGCCGTTGAGCATCTGCTGTCAGCAGCAGGAGCAGGTCAGTATCATCACAGACACGCTAATCAGATCAATCTCACCAAAGCTGTCAAGAACATGACCATGTCATTTGCACCCCAAAATCACAAGAAGGAAATATTATTACTATTATATTACATTATATTTTGCTTAAATAAAATGAACCCTATTTTAGGACTTTTAAGGCTTTGTTTTTTTGTGTTGTCATTATTTTCATGACAGTTTAGCACAATTTTTCTGTCAATTTTTTTAATTACTTTTTGTAATATGTATATACAGTGGGTACGGAATGTATTCAGACCCCCTTCAATTTTTCACTCTTTGTTATATCACACACACACACACGTCCATGTCATTTTCACCTCAGCATCACAAGAAAGAAATATTATTATTGATCATATAATTTTAATTATATATTGCTTAAATAAAATGAATCCTCTTTTAGAATCAAGTTGTTTTTTTTGCTTTGAAACATTGCTTAGCACATTTTTCTGCCCATTTTCTTACTACTGTTGTGTAAAAGAAATCCATATTACAATATGTACCAAAATAGGCTTTAACTCAAAATCAAAGAAAATACAAATAATTATATATAGATTTTGATTTGAAATATGAGTAGAATTGAAATGCTTATGTAGTTGTAAGAAATAAACTAAACTAAAACGAACGAATTCTTGAGTGTGTTTACTAACACGAGATCCCACCTTCGCTTCAATTTCCTCTGTTTTCCTGTGTATCGCTCATTTATTTTCTCCCATCAGTCAAAATGATAAAGACTCTGGCAAAGTGAATTTCAACACATGCCTTTCTAATCAGTGCTGACAGATAAACTGGAGCATAACGAATGAGGTACAGCTCTGATATTGATTGGTTGTTTTTACGTCTGAAAGACATCAACTCTCGAGCGCTGTAGATCAGTGCTTCTCTGCTGGTGGGCCGTGACCTAAAAATAGCTTGCAAGTCTGTTCTAAAAGGACAGAGAGCATGAAAATTCATGAGATTATTATAATTATCATAAAAAGTAAATTACTGTACACTTCTGTTGTTGTTTATGCTTTTACAAAATTAATTTTTTTTCTCGTTTTTTACACACACACACACACACTGTGTGTGTGTGTGTGTTCTACTGTTATTAATAAATATTTTCATATATTTATAATGCTTAAAATGTTTGTGAAATGTTTATATATAGTACAGCAATACAAAAACAGTTTAACGACACCAAATTAGATGAACACAGAGTTGCTAAAATTAAACGAACCCTTATTTTTTTATAGCCAAGTAGGCACAACCATTAGTAGAGCAATCTATCACTAGATCAGCAGTCCTTGTCACATTTTAGATTAAATGACCACCGGCTAAGTCACGATTTGTGCATTAATATCATAAAAAGCTTTTTGTGACATTAAACGCCATGTAAATTGATCCGAAGGACGTATATAATCTAAACTTCCAGCAAAGAGCTAATGTTGACGAGTGTGTGTGTCATGGGCTTCTCTGATTGAATGAGGTGCATCCTTCATTGGAATGACTCAACGTGAGCCATTAAGGACCAGTAATGGCTCTTTTCATGTGGATCTTGGTTTTACAACAGCTGCCGTTCATTTACTTTATATTCGGTTTCACTGTTTTTTAGGGGTGGTGACGCTTTGCCTAACCAATCCGATCTGGGTCACCAAAACTCGCCTGGTTCTGCAGTATAGCGCCGATCCATCTAAGAAGCAGTATAAGGGGATGATGGATGCTCTTGTGAAAATCTTCCGCCATGAAGGGATTGCAGGACTCTATCGGGTACAAAAGGGTTTCTATGGCAACGTATAGAATAATGAAGGGTGGTTTTGTGCAGTCCTTGGGTGGATTGTTTCTTTCAACAGGAAATAATCGATGAGATTCCACATTGTGCCACTAGGAGGAGCACTTGTATAAGGAAATAAGGAGCGTGAATGCGAATATTTGTGATTGTGTGTCAGTTGCATGCTGTGGGGTTTGTTTGTTTGCTTTATCTAGCTGAGTTAACTGTTATGATCCCTAGGGGTTTGTCCCGGGATTGTTTGGAACCTCCCATGGTGCACTGCAGTTCATGGCGTATGAAGAGTTGAAGAGAGATTATAACAAATACAGAAAGATGCAATCAGATGCTAAACTGGTTAGTATGAGCACGACACACTTTGATAGTTTAGAAAATGAACAACGTTTGGCTAACTGCATATTGCGCCTTTTTAAAATGTGAAATCACATTATGCAACAATAAACAATAAAGTTGTCACTTGACTATGCATTTTAAATTTTAGGTGTCCAAAATAAATCCATTTTGGCATCACTTTTCACAGTGGTATTATGCTAAACAGCCACATTCATCAGTTCATTAATGTGGTTTGTAGTAACTCACGGTGCATTTTGTGCTCTGTTTTCTCTCTAGAATGCATTAGAATACATTACCATGGCAGCTTTGTCCAAAATATTCGCAGTGGCTATGACATACCCGTATCAGGTGGTCCGAGCCCGTCTGCAAGATCAGCACAACACGTATGATGGAGTGGTAGATGTTGTCCGGAGAACGTTTAGGTAAGCATGAGATTTACATGCTAATCTCAAGCAAACACATTAGCAAATCATATGTTGGTGATCTAAATAACAAAAACAAAAAGACAAACTTAACTTTCATGCAATCGAACCCTCATGAATGCCCTATAGACTTACATTTTAATTACAATAACGCAGTTTATATACTACAGTACCATTCAAAAGATTTTTTTAATGTTTTAATAAAGGCTGCATTCATTTTATATTCAAAAAAAACAGTAGAAATTGCAATATTGTGAAATATTATTACAATAAAAGAACTGTTTTCTATACTTGAATATATATTTTAAAATATAATTTATGCCTGTGATGCAAAGCTGAATTTTCAGCATCATTACTCCAGTCTTCAGTGTCAAATTATTATTATTTTTTTTTTATTATCGACATTATTATCAGTGTTGAAAACAGCTGCTTAATGTTTTTGCAGAAACTTTAATACTTTATGTTCAGGATTTGATGAATAGTATGTTCAAAAGAACAGCATTTATTAGAAAGAGAAATATGTTGTAATAATATAATATAATACTTTCTGTTATAATACTGTAATAATACTGTAATATTTTTTTTTTTATATTTTGCAATATTATTGTTGTAATAAAATAGTCTTTACTGTCACTTTTGATCAATTTAATGCAACTTTGCTGAAGGAAAATATTATTAATAGCAATCTTGTTAAACCTAAACTTCTGAATGTAGTGTTCTAGAAAATTAGCTAAAATAATAACATTCCTTTGATCAAAACAACTAGAGAACCTATAACGGGTTAATATGTGCATGATTAGTTATAAGCTGATCAGTCTGGTGAATTTTCTAGGACCAGTTGCATAAACATTGCCACTATGTCAAGAATCTGTCTTAAGAACCAACTAACAGTTAACCAAGTGGTAATCAGTCTTACTTTTCAGATTCAAAAACTTTACTAAGTTATGACCAGTCTTGGAGAAAGAGATTGGATGACAAACTTTTAAGACTAGTCTAAGCAATTTATGCAACCAGCACATAGTAAAAGGTAATGTAAAACAGGTGCAGTAATCTTATAATACATAACTTGTGCCTTTTTCCTGGTGTTTGATCAGAAACGAGGGTCTGTTGGGTTTCTACAAAGGCATGGTGCCCAACCTGATCCGAGTCACTCCGGCCTGCTGCATAACCTTTGTGGTCTATGAGAATGTTTCCCGCTTCCTCCTGGACCAGCACAAGTGAACTGAGAACAGGAATAACTGCAGCGGAGCCGTCTGTCAGAGAGCAGAGCTGGACCTGGGATGAGACGTCCAATCAGTGACGGTGTTTGACGGCCATGGAGAAGTCAGAAATGTAAATAGAGAGAAATAAAACATCCTGGTCCTCTCTGGAAGACTGAAGTGCATGAGGTCACAGAGTTCAGAGTGTAATTTGTGTCTAACAGGAGACACTGGTCAAGAAACCGATACTTGTTTGGTTTCTCTACAACACTGGTGACATTATTGTGAATATGGACATGAGGGATATATTACGTGTGGCTGTATTATATTCACATACAGGCTGTTTGTTTTATCTAATTAAAAAGTGTTAAAATCAAACCAGATTTTAACTTTTTATCAAGAGATAAAAATGGGTTACGATAACTAGGGCTGGGCAATATCTGAAATATCCATATTTGTGAATAATTCACTGGCAACTTGAAATTAAACAACATTGTGAATATTCTAATCATTTTAATGTGCTTTTAATCTTCAGTTTCACAGTTTAAAACCTGACAATATTTTCATTCCTCCATGTGGCATTTTTACCACTCAAACGTTTGGGTTGGTATGAATTTTTTTAATGTTTTTGAAAGACGTCTCACCAAGGCTGCATTTAATTGATTAGAAATACAGTAAAAATTGTGGAATATTATTACAATTTAAAATGATTATTTATTATTTGAATATATGTTAAAATGTAATTTATTCCTGTGATGCAAAGCTGAATTTTCAGCATCATCACTCCAGTCTTCAGTGTCACATGATCCTTCAAAAATCATTCTAATATGCTGATTTGCTGCTGATAAAACATTATTATCAATGCTGAAAACATTTGTGTTGATAGTTTTGTGTTTCAGGATTCTGTGATGAATAGAAGGTTCAAAAGAACAGAACAAATCTACTGTAACATTATAAATGTCTTTTCTGCCATTTCAGACCAAATACATACATTGTGAGATCTATTGTATTGCAGATATTGTCAGAAGAGACATAATTGTTTTGGCTATATTGCCCAATGGTAATTCATCAGTGGTAAAACAGTTTTATGTGAATAAGTCTACTTCATGTTTACATCCATGCTGCATTGCTGCTGTACTTGTTCTGTGCAATGGGCAAACCAAACCTCAGGCTTTATTCCTCAAATCACAAGCGCACACAGATTTACTGAATCTGACATTTCTGGCTCATTGCTGACATTTGTGTTAATGAGCTCAAATTCATGGCCTTAAAATGTGTTATGCTCATAGGTTAATAACTAATGCTCTTTGAAGAACATGTACCCAAGATAGGAGTTCTTTAAAAAAAAAAAAAACTTTATTGACATTTAAAAATTATCCAATAAAATGTATTTTACAGTACCTGTCCAGACTCGAATTGTTAAACATAATTACTTACAAACTTTTACTGTAGTTTCAAGAGTCTGTCACTCCAGTATAAGGTCATGTGATTGTTTCAGCCCTTGTGTGTAGAGGTAGACAGCAAGAGAGGGCTGTTAGGCTTAAATATAAATGAAATGAAAGTTACAAAGGAGTTTTTTTTTTTTGCTGCAATGCCAGAGAAGAACAGTTTTTGGTTTCTCAAAGAACCTTTCAGTGAACAGTTCTTAAAAGAACCATTTTTTTTCATAGCGTGAATTACATTTTACTCATCTAATGAACATTTTGTCCACAATCATAACATTGTTTTTATGAAATGCTCTTAACAAGCTGATTAATAATGCTAAATGTACATGGAAAAAGAAAGTCTTGACAAATACTTGTTTATTTGAATGGTTGGAGTCATAAACAGTATATATAACAGATAAAATAATTCTAATTGCTGCATTCTCCATTCTCGTTTTCTGCAGTGTTTTAGTGAAAGTACCACTCTATTTTGCTGCTCACTGTGTTTCTGCTAGTGTAGTTAAAATACCTGCATCATCTGTAGCTCTTGTAGCACTTTACGTCTCTGAAAAGGGTTTGAATGAAGCACTCTACATAAAAATATTAGAGGATATAACGGCGAAAGATCATTATAAGTGACCCTGAGTGCTTGTGGTGTGCTCAGATCCACTGTTTTGATACGCTGCTCAATTAAAACTGTAGGAATTGTCCCATTTGACGACCCCTGCTTTTAGATTATTAAAATGTTCTTATAAAACGGATAGTTCCGGTCCTTGATTCTGATTGGTTGAGCCGTGTTCGAAGCTGTTGTAAATTACACTACAAACATACACCTTTGTTTACTTCTGTGTGTTGCTTGTCAACCACTTTGTTGGAACCACAACTGTTTTTGAGGAACTGCATTGTTTGGTGGAAGAATACTGTTTTTATTTATATCATTACACTTTATTTGCTCTGTTTTATTCTGTGAAACCTTACTACGTATATGGAATAACCGTTTTATAAAAGCAATAAGCCCTGTGAAGCCGTGGTTTACAGTGAATTTATAACAGCTAAGGGGGCTTCGCGTCATGTCTAACAACGCCCCAGCTGTTATAAATTCACTGTAAACCACGGCTTCTCACTAAGAAAAAATGGTTCTTCTGAGAACTGACCACTGAAAGTTTCTTTGAGGATCCAAATCTGACTCCGGCATCTGCGGAAAAAACACCTTTTGGAACCTTTATATTTTGTGGAATCAAAAGGATGTTAAATGTTCTTCATGGAACCATCAATGTCAATAGAGTAGTACAAAGCAATTCGTCCTCAAATTTTAAAAATGTAGTAGCACAGACAGTGCTTGGAAGTTTCTGGAAGACTGTGAGGGACTCAGCTGCTCAGAGGAAGCTCTTCTATGATCACGCGGGAAACAGAATTCCAGCCGGTGGAAGCGTCTCCGTGTGGATAGTCGCCGCAGGTTCCCACCCAGATCGCAACATCCACCAGGCCTTTCCGAACTCCTTCACATAAACCTTCAACTGAAACAAACAGACGGTGTGTCAGTCTGACTATTTCTCACTGCGTCCATGAGGATGTCTTCTGATAACTCTGCTCTGGTTCTCAGATGACCATCTCAGACTTCACGTAAAAAAACAGATAAACAGACATGCTTTATTGCACCCTGAGGGGGAATGAGAAATTCAGAGACACCCTTATCTGCTGTAATTAATCCACACCAAACTATTTGCAGTGTTTAGAGCGGAGAGCTTTTCAAAGACTTTCCCTGTAGTACAAGAGCCATAAAAGGCTTTCATTGCGTGTTTTATTTATCATACATCACTGTTAATGGAATAACGGGTTGAACTTTATATTACAGGTCGGACCTGAGGGAAAAACAGCATGGGTCATTATACACAAGGCTGCCTTTTGTGCTCCTTATTAACATAATGGACAGACAGACAGTCATTATTGCAAAATAAACCCAAACGCCAAATATCCTGTGTCATCCTGAAAGGGTTTATTTTGCAAAATGACCAGATCTCCAACATCTCCCTGTTTATTATTATTATACATATTTAAACTATGTTACAAATATAAAAAAAATGTTGAATTAATA